ATTATGTACGCAAACAGCTTACCAGCTTTCTCGGCCGTAGAGACTATGTGTGGCGTACATCCACCATCGGTCATCAGACCAACAGTCTGGTTACTTGCATTACAAATGTCAGACATGTGTAACTCGCTGGAGTCTCCACCAGATAAGCGAAGCTACGGTTTCAAGAAACGTTAAAAGTTAGCACTTGAAGTTTGTGGCCAGGTGTGATGCTAAAAACCAAATTTGCATCTAGTTTAACACCTTCAGATCTTCATTATGGAAATATAGTTATCTAATCGACTGCGGGATACCTTTCACAAAGTAGTAAAATGAGAAAACTCTGTTGGAGTTTTAAATGTAATAACTTCCCTAAATGTAATAAAGTCCTGAATGTAATAAAGTCCTAGATGTAATAAAGTCCTAAATGTAAAAACATTTGGTCCTAAATGTAATTAATGAAGTCCTAAATGCAATAACATTTGGCCCAAAATGTAATAAGCTTCCAATAGTTTGACTGCGCTTGTGCATCCGCTGTGAGATGTTTAAGTGACAACTTTTACATCAGAGAATCCTCTGACCAGAATTCATGGCGTGTTACGGGCTCGTTCGCTGATTTTAATCAGCGTGTTTTTATATGCTGGAGACGTACGCCGAGAAGTATCAACTACAAACCATTCTGATGTGCTTTTGGCGTAAAATTGACAGATGTCAAACTAATAGGACGCTGACCAATCCAGTTATCTTGACCGAATAGGCTTGGTCAAGAGATTTTGATAATTATTTTGGCTCAGTCAATGAAAGGTTTATCATAAAGCAAAAAGATTTATTTTGAGAGTCGAGAAAGAGAACCAGCTGTGTTTGTAGCACAATAAACCCTGAAGAGCCGATTAATGTTTTTCTTTGTTTTGCCGCTTTTGCGACTTCGTCGCCGATATTGTCCAAAAGTTACAAACAACTACACAAGCGAGTAAGTCCTGGTGTCTTAAAAGCACAGAGACGTATTTAGTTTTAAGCTTAAAAAATAATGTTAAAGTACTTGAATAAGCTTTGTGTTTGAAAAGTTTCCAGCCTTCCTTTTTCCTAGTTTTGATTCCTTTTACAGATCTCTAGGAACGTTTCAATTTTCTTTCACTTATTTTGCAACGGCGGTTGACGCTACATGATTTCGTTTAATATTTTGCGGGGGTAATTTATGCGTGGCTGGCCAGATTGATCCCCTTGCGCATGCCCAACGTTTGACCGCTGGTTTCAGATATTGTGCAGTACAGCCAGAGTGCTTGGCACACACCGCCCCAGCTGCAACTAATCTTAGTCGCCAGGCCACACCTTACGACTGCAACTACAGAGAAGAAGACTTCTACTGTGAAATTACTCATCTCTTCTCGTCGCAAATAAGTCAATGTCCACGTCTGAAATAGACTGAACATCTATTAGCTTATCACCATCTACCATATGTAATCCCATAGTTATATCTGCTGTCATGTCCGTGTCGCTACCATCGTCGACAATACTATCAGGTCCATTTTTTGCGTCAGTATCATCCATTGCAAAGTCCTGCTCTATATGCATTTTATTTGCCGTGAATGCTTCAAAATTTCTCCTTCTCCAGGGTCATTTGCTTCGTTGTCTTCTTCACTACCGTCGTTGTGATCCGTAACTTGTTCCAAGCTCACATAGAGTTCACCTTGGTTCTCAATTAGCAAACTTTTCAAGGTACACTTTAGCTACTGAAACACTCGCTGACGGATTAAACACGTGCTGCCCACCAACTCCTAGAGAAGACACTAGGGAGTTTAAGAAAACTACGACGGCAACGACAACGGGAACGATACCAAACAAAAGGTTTAATCAGCAGAACAATGGCTGTGCGCGTGCGTTATAAATCTTTGTAGACTTCTTTGCGCTCTCTGCAAAACAGCAGCATGAAATGACCAAACTTTGCGTTGTCTGGAGAACATGAACGTCGACCGCTGATTTTGAAATTTATTTTTCTTAATTAAGGCTGTGTTCCAATTTCAGTTTTGTATGGTTTTGACCGTGAGAAACAAGCTAAATGACTCTAGAGTATCGCGGGACTCGTAGGTAAAATATAAGTTTAATTTTTAAGGTAAAATATTTTTAAGGTAAAATATAAATTTAATTTTTAAGCGACGTTGTCCACGGCGTCGCCGTCGTCCTTTCTTAAACTCTCTTCTACTTGGATGTCGATGGTGTTCAAGTTTGCCGCTGCATACAGCGTTATCTCATCATCTCGTGCCAAATGAGTTAAATAGTCGTCCCAACAAGCGAACTCGTCATCTACCAAATGCTTCAAAAGAGGGAGGTCACCGCTATCGCACAGATTACTTTCTAAGTACTTTACAATTTCCTTCCTCGTGGTTTCAGGGGATCTTAAATTCTATATTCATGCGATCGCAAAGTGTTTTCAAGGCTTTCTAGAACTCCCCTCCTTGGTCGCACTGGATTATCTCTAGCGATCCATGCTCCATATGAACACTTTCCAGTTCATTTCCAATTATCTGGCTTGATTTGCTTTCCAGAGGACGAAGCCAAAGAAAACGGCTGAAAACATCAATCACTGTTACAACGTATCTAAACAAATGTCCATTCATTTTCGCGGATCCTTTCTGCTCATGTCCATCAAATCTATTTGGCGCTTAACTTGAACGTATCTGGCTCTAATAGGTTTCAGCCTCGCCTTATTTAGAAACTTAGCATTTCGATGATGATGACTTTTGTCTGTGTTTAGAATAGTTTGTATATTAGCTGGACCTACTCCAAAAGGGTTGTTCCCTAAAGATCAAGCCATCTTCCACGCACCAGATCCTTTGGTTTTTTCAAATTCCACAACCACTACTTTGTTCACCTCTGATGATTTTAAAATTCGACGCCCCTCGTAATAAACTGCTTTATCTCCATGGTCTTCTTTGACTGATATCCTTTCGCCGGCTCTCCAGTATCGCACAGCAGCTACACGCATTGCTCTCGTCCGTTCTTTCACTGGTGGTTGTGCTTTGCCTTCAACGAGGTCGAGCAGGGCTTCATAGACGTCTTCCGCTAAAGCAGAGGATTTCCTGTTCCCTTCAGAGTTTTCACTATCTTTATGGGCCAGCTATAGCAAAAAATCTCAAGTTCAATCAATGCAAGTATTAGCGTGCAACATTCAATGTAGATCTCAAAGAAAACTGCCGGAAATATTTCACAGGCTAGTGAGATGTTTCTAGCATTTTTTTTTTTTTACTATTTTTATCATCACCAATCATGTTTTCACAGTCAGTTCAATCAATCAATACAACGTTAAGGGGAAAATCTTGACGTTTCGAGCGTTAGCCCGTGGTCAGAGCGATGACGAAGGGCTAACGCTCGAAACGTCAGCTTTTTAACTCTTTGCGTTGGCCAAATTACAATTTCAACATAGTTGATATACAGAGGATATTACATGGCCCCGCGGGGAAATGAATTTTATCTTCGAGTCCTGTAAGTATCTATCTCTCACGAGTGAGCTTCGCTCACTCGTGAGACATACTTTCAGCACGAGAAGATAAAATTCGTATCCCCAAGTGGCCATGTAATGTTCTGTTTATTTTATAGATACTGATAAAATTTCCACTAAAACACAACTTTTTCGAAACTGCAAAATAGTGCAATTAAAGTGGTCACCTATCGTAAAATGCCTGTCACAAAAATGTTATAAAACTCGGATATAAAGTTATAAAGGAGAATTGAAGACGATAATAAAATTATTTGTTCCAAAAAGTCCAAATTCTAATGAAGAAGAGAAAAATTTATGTCAGTAACCATTGCGATACCAATATCTTGACACGTGAAAGATAAAAATAGTAATTTCTTCACAGCGCGCGATGAAGATACTGATTTTTTAGTAAAAGGAAAAATGCTAGTATTTCATCAGTATCTATATAATAAATAACCAAATTACCTTCTTACCCCCACCGACGCAGCACCACAGTTTCTTTAGAAACTTACCCCCTTTAGATGAACAGTCCGTTTCATAGTCAGGTTATGCTGTTTTATTATATACATACCGAGATTCACGCGCCAAAAAGCATCGAGATAAAAATAGTCTCTTCGCGCTAGAGGAGCCATCTGATTGGTCATACCATTTTTTTTTCACTAATGAAAAACGACGTATCGACGCTCTGATTGGCTATATCATTATTTCACTAGTGAACAAAACCGTGTCGCTCGCTCGCCGCTCCTCTTGACTGACAAATAGCATATTTCTAAGAGCTTAGGCGCATTTTTCTTTAGAAAGATGGCTTCAAATCAGACTAACCGTTTTCAGAGCCTAGATTCATCAGTAGAAGAGTTCATAGACGGACAGGAAAATGAAAACACCAAGGAAAAGACCAAACACGATGTCGCTCTGTTCCACGAATTTCTTGTTCTGAAAGGCGAAACAAAAAACAAAAAAATTAAGTCTCGGGTTTTCACTTCTTTATTTCAAATTTTGAACTTCCATAGAACTATTTCGACATATTTTCAGGATGTCTTAATTTATTCTACCTAGTTCTGCCTTTTAACGGCATTTTCGCT